GCGTCGGTGGCTCAGGGGTCATGCACTTGACTTGCCTTCTACAGTTCCTGGGTTCGTATACCACCATGTACCAATGTGTTTTTCGATTTCAGATTTACATTTGTACATTTATCTGATTTTCTTACGGTGAAGGAAAACATCGTGATGCAACCTGCATATAACTGAGAAGAAATTCAATGATATTCGTGTAGTCAATCAACCCGCACTGGGCCAGCGTGGTTGACTATGTCCAAGTCACCCGTGACTTAGGGTAGGCTCCGAGCCCCTCAGTGGGGACGTACAGTGAGCTGATGATGACTAATTTTATTACCATAGGAAAAGCGTTAATAATTAAATAAATTCATTTGATGTCTTCATTGCACTAAATTAGTATTTTCTACCAATTGCCTATGCGATTGTTTATATATATCTTGAAGATATTTCCACGTGTATTTGACATAATTAGGCTTTATATTTTATTGATTATTTTGTTACTCTATCACAAGATTAGACGCATTTATAGCATTGGTAGTTTCTGATATATTTCCTAAACTTATAGACGCCTGTAAATCAAATAAAGTTTTGCAATATAAACGTAGGAGTGACGTAAGTAGCTCTTGTCCGTCGAATAAAACCTTTTCTACGATTTTTTTACATAATTAATATATTTGAAATTCGAATATCTAATAACGTTTAAAAGAATCTTATAAGAAACTAACTTGACAAGCTTTTACTATTTGGAAATAGCGAAGCTAATACTCTTCTATTGAACAAGACTTATGGCTTGTCTTACCGCTTTAAAGTTCCTGATAGTCTGAAGACTTTTTGTACGATAGCTTAAAAAATTCAGTCCTACAATTTCCTGATAAGGCAATCAAGTAGATAACGTCTTAGATAACTAAGGGTTTTCGATTTACTTTTCAGCCATTAAAAATCACTTATTTCGTTTATTATTCGTCTGATCTTAAAATAATCTTACTTTCTTACTTATAAAAGCGAATGTTTAGATGAATATATGGATGTTTGTTTGAAGGTATCACCAGAATGGCTGCATAGATCTAGATGTAGCACATAGTCTGGAAGAAGGATAGGATAGGCTACTAATTAATCTTGTATAAAAATGCAAACAAAGTGTAGCTCTTAGTAAGTACTATTAGTAGCTACCACACTAAGATTTGTAACTAAGGGTGTCCCTAAATTACCTATTAATTTAATGAATAGCGTATATACTACTATATTAATATCTTAAAAAAAACTGATGATGAAATAAATGTATAATATGATACCTCCAGAAAAGATAATTTATTTTAATATTAATGTAAAGTTTCCCGGAGTTGATCCTTTGTTTTCAGTGGAACATTGTCGACTACAGACAAAGGCAATCTGATAATGGACGAAACTGCGGTCCCGAACTGCAATGCCATTAGTGTCATTTACATTTCGGTAGCTTTGTAAATTAAAACATTGTATATGTGAGCTATTTTATAATTATCCTAATTGTAAAACTATTAATACAAGATAAAACAAATAATAAAAAAATACATTGGCGCGCACACACTTACAGATTCACGTACGCACACGCACACATTCTGCATAAATGAATGCAGAATGAATGAATGCTATTTAAGGTCTGGATTAAGAGAAGATACTGACACACATCACCTTCTACAGGAGGTAGAGTCCAAAGAAATTGTAAATTTTTTGGATCATTAAGATTTATTATATATTTATAACTAGCTGTCGCCCACGACTCCGTCGGCGCGGTATTAAAATAGAACTTAATTGTAAGCCTATGTCTTCTTCCCCACTATGTTTTACATCTATACCAAATTTCAGCGAGATCCATGCAGCCGTTCTGGAGTTACTTTCAAATAAAAATCCATCCATCCAAACATTCGCATTTATAATATTAGTATGATTCAACATAAGAGACATCAAAATCAAGGAATCCAGTATTTATAATAAAAAACATAGTCATCCATCTGCTTGTATACAGATGTTTCGGTAGTGAAAACTCACAGTTTTGCTTTTATCTAAAACCACAAAGTTTTCAAATAATCCATCACACAAATGATAAAAGTGCGAGAGAAATTGATCGGACGTGACTGCGCAACAACGTTCCCGGGCGAGTGGGCGCGTGGGCGTCCCCGGGAACTCACCCACGCCACCTGAACTACAGGATTGTGCCTTAATCTCAACATACACGTGTCATTATTGATTTACCGAGCATTATCATACCTTTACTAAACAAACTCGCGTAGTGATTCCGTAATTTAATTCATCTCCACGACTCATGAGACATAAATTTCCAATTTTGTAACTCAACTCTTTGATAGTCTAGATTTACGAGTAACTTATCATTATAATAAGATCATTCTAAAAGGATTCCTTTTAACTTATCATGGCTCGAAATTTTTCCTTTGAAATATTATAGATAATAAAAAGCAAAATTTTCCTTGTCTAAATAATCAATTAATAACGTTAATTTCGTTCTCATATGACGTAAAAGGACTTTCAGCTTACATACTTCAAAGCTCGACCCAACTGTTTACGCTTCCACGCTTAAATTATACTGGCAAGAAAAAAATTAATGAGCCGCGAACGTAGAGGCGAGGAGGTTAGTTTACTGTATCTTAAATATTAAACGACAATTTTGAAAAAAGAATTATTATAATTTGAAATATAGCTGTCGCTCGCCAGTCTGTCTGTCCACGCGAAATTAAAAAAAATCCAGACTATGTTCCACATCCATGTCTAATTTGAGCGAGATCCATGAGACCTTCTAACAAACAACCATCCATCCAAACATTTATAATGCGTCCCGGAGGCTTAATTTAGTTCTCTTCGCCTTCCCTAACTTTTTCTTATAAGGAAAGGAAGGGAAGTGAAGTGGACTTTCCGGATATTTTCTTTCTGTGAATCCTCGTCTCCGTCGATTAAAGGTAGGCAACGCGTATGCAATTGCTTATGTCTATGGGCAACGGTCACTTCGCTATTTCAGCGAATTCAGGTGGCCGCTCGCTCGTTTGCCACCTTATGATATAAAAAAAACCTATTAGTAAAAAGTTAAATATTTTGTAGTTGCTAGATTATCTGAACAATTGAACTCACATCGTTATATCCCAACACAAAACATTTCTATTTTTATTCAAATAACAAAACACTACACGATTCGATTTTAGTATTTAATATTCTAATTTAATACCTTGATATTCTTCTAATATCATACTATTTTTACAAATGCAGTTATATTTTTTACACTATGATTTACTGCTAATTCATACTTAGTTAACCTGTTATTACTCACAGGGCGGGAAAACGGTAATGCTTGATTAAATGCAAGTGCTATGGAACGAGCCACCTATAAACACACTGACCCGGCACCCTGTACCCTGCCGCCCCATCCTCCCCACAGGGGACTAGCCCCCTTACACAAGTACGCACACAACGATCTGCCTCTAATACTTACAGTTCACTTTTACGCATGTACGTATAACGTATACTGAACCATCACACACACATGGATATTTCACGGGAAAACTGTTACCCACATATACAAAGCTGCATACGTATTTTCCCCTACCTACTTCATATCACAACCAAAGCAACAGATTCTGTAGCGTTGCAAGCGATAATGTAATTGATTTATCGCAACAGAAAAATAAATGGAGCATATTTAAATAGCTTAAGTTTGTAATAAATAATCTTGAACTACAAAGCCTTGTAATTGTTGACGTCACTTAATATAAACTCTTTTTATTACTGAATATTTCTATAATTATTTTAATTATAGAAACTGAAAGACGTCACATGTGCGTGCTACCTTTTATAAAACGGTAATATTATAAATATTGTATAAAATTTATACTATCATGTTTATTAATAGCATCGAAATTTATTTTTTATTTTTTAAGTCATTGAATTTTTTTCATGATGTATTCAATATCGAGTAAATACAATATAATAGTAACTCGAATACTCTTCTATGGAAGTCATTTTGTGGTGATATATTATTAAAAGAACTTAGTATACCTTTTTATTTTCCTGTCAGTCACGTGGCGTAGCGTGCAGTGCGTCTAGTTGAGGCTTAATGTGTCTTTTGTAAGGGAACAGGTGCGAATGACATCAAAATTACAAGTTTATTATTAAAAACATATTTATCATTCCTTCCTGAATTATTATTTAACATTTTATATGTAAATCTACATAATGTCATATCGTAAGTTGACGAATATCAAGCGTGACATTCGAAAATATTAGGTATTATGAAAATAGGTATTTAACGGTAATCTTAATATTTCACAACAAAAATAATTACCTTATGAATGAATGTCTCTATATAGGTACTTTAACATTATAAGAATAAATGCGTAGAACAAAAGTTTCATGAATACGTTAGCAAAGAACCATTACAGGTAAATTACAGAAGTCGAGACAATTTTCTTCGGCGACACAGAACTTAGTTCCGAGACTATTATTCATTCGACAAACATATCGAACGGTAGCAAGTTGACAACATTACCGTATACATAATACATAGCATGAGACGGTACACACGGCGGCACAGATTTGCATAATGACCCCCACTGTAAGCCCACATGACCCCGTTTTTTACCTAATCGGCATACGGCATCGGCGTTTTGTTTTGTTTCTCCATCACTACAATATCTTGTAACGACACTTTATCTCTCGCAAAGTTTTCTGAGACCGAAATTTCCGTTTAAAAAATATTCTTATCTTTGTTTTGTCAAAGATAATGACTGAGATGACGATATGTTTTACACAGAGATTTTGACGTCAGATACTCACGGTCAATGGCTCAAAATGTAATATAGATCTGGAGGAAAATTTGATAATAAAATATAGTATTTTTTTTATTTAAACATATTTATACGATGAGGTGTAATGAGGATGGAATTGAAATATTTTATTTCAATTCATAAGGTTCTGAGAGCCTAGTTGCGGGAACCAAATTCCAAATGTAATTTGTAAGTAGTTTAACAATTTGTCGTTGTTTACAGATAGCAGCTGTTGACGTCTACAGTAGCAGCCCGCTAGCCGGCCACGTGTCACTCGCCCCGCTCCCTACAACCCCTTCAAGATTGCTGCCACCATGGGTCGGAAGAAAATACAAATATCCCGGATCACAGACGAACGGAATCGGCAGGTTTGTTTACTTTCAGAGATTCTCAAACTTTTTTCTTGTGAACATTACCTTTCTTCTTTAACTTGATACCAGTTCTTCTGTGGACACCAGGACCACTTTACGGATCACTGACTTATCAGAGTCCCTTAGTAAAGGTTAAGTTTGAGAAGTTATTGAAGGTGCAAGTGAATTAGCTGTAAGCTGCTACATCGTAGAATATATTTTATGATTACTCTAGGTTTATTATTCATCCTGAGGTAGGAAAATAGGTTAAGTCAACTTAGTTTCATCCTTCAAGTTTAAATTGGTTACCGATTATTCTTAAGAAACATTTATATACCATCCTTTTAACTTACATGAAATGAAAATACTTTTATCAATCATTTAACAATTTGTCACTACCATTTATGATCATCTTATCAATTTCAACATGTCAACACTCATTATAAACATACCGTTCGCGAAATTGATAACGAAACAGTTATTTACAAAATAACTGTTTCGATATAGAAATTAATAATTTAAACGAGATCGTTATGTTAAGCAATGAATTTGTAATTTAAAGTGTCGAGTTCGATCTTCAACCTGTACCAATATGTTTTACGTCTTTCATATGTATTTTTAGACATTATTAGTTAGAATCCTTTAGTGCGAATGGCGCGCTTTCATTATAAAGTCAAGTGTCAGAATGATTAGTGAGGGGACATAGACGTTGTAATTTTAGTAAGGCTAGTGTTGTGCCAGTACACCGGCGCAGTGTAGGAATTTCTTCCTAACAGTATTAACCAACTTCTAACCAAAATTCAGATTTGATGTCCTTGCCCTGGGTGAGCGTAGTTGATTAGGGCCTAGTCGTAGGGAAGGCACAAGACCATTACGATACCTATATAATTTCGTGTTTTTTTTAAATAATGTAACCATTTTTTTTGTTAATTTACTAATATTTCTTATACAATTCAAACTAAGCTCTATGCTTGTGTTACTACATGGTTTACGACAATAGTCGAATGGCAGGATCGATCCATCGACCACGTGATCGTAAATCTGTATCCTTAACCATTAGGCTATTGAAGCTTCATTTATAAATAAAGAAAGTAATACGAAAAAAATAAAAAAGCAAGAAAAATAGTTTTGTAACAATCAAACATTTAGTTAAACGATTTCATGACAGAGAACGGAGAATATAAACGAATATACAAGGTTGCAAAGGGTAATGTGACCTCAGTATCCCGCCAACAGATGCGGTCCGCTCTCCCACTGCAAAACATTATCGCCAAGGGACAATGACCGCTCCCGTTAGTAATTTATTAATTATACGATTACACTTGTATAATATTAAAGACCAGTTTACACAGACCTCTCTCCCTGGTAAAATCCTTCTCATTGTTAGATGTTTTGACTGAATTCAAACGGCGGGGTGGATCAGTGATAAATGGTTTTGTAATAGAGAACAACTGAAATGGTAGTTGCGAAGGCCAATCTTTGCATTTTGACGGTGGCTTTGACCCTGAATCTATGTCTATGTGTAGATGAAGTTTTGTTAACATGAACTCCATTTAAAAATGATGAAAACTTGTATACAATGTTATTATTGTTTTGGTATTTACAATCTCGGAAAACTACATAACGGCTACTATTAAATTTTAACATAATTTGGTACTTATAGGATTTTAAATGGTTATCTTACTATCTTACTAATATTATACAAATGCGAATGTTTATATATTGGTTTTAGTTTGAAGTTTTCTCCAGAACGGATGAAGGGATTTAGATGAAATTTGGTAGACATATAGAACATAGTCTGGAAGAACACATACGCTATATTTTTTTTTGTTCTGTTCGATGGTATTCAGTGCAAATCAAATAAATTGCATAATCTTTATATCATTTTTATTATAGGTAATTTATAAAATTTATACAATAATTAATTATAATATAACGACTTATATAAAAAGCTTATCAACGCCTTGACAGCAAAATACCGCACTGCCAAAGAGATAAAACAGCGTGTGCATCGACTTTTTGTTTTGAGGAAAACAAAACAATGTTACATTTATTGGTTATAAATAACCACAAAACGGAATCACCAACGTGCATAATTGCGTGCTAATGTCGAATTTTAAATCGTAATGCGACGACACACAATAATTATTATCATTAATTATAATAAACGTCCCTGACCCAATAAATATTAACAATAACTTCATGTATAAATTAGACTTTCTTTATTAACAATTACATTGCCTTTTATCAAAATCCAATAACAAACAGAAAGAATGTAACGCTCATAAAAACTAAATTACCGTTTTTTATTTTCTTAAGCTTTTGCCGTTAACTGTCGCATTTCGTTAAAAAGGTTTTATTAGATTATAAATTTGTTAAATACTGTGGCGAATTTTTGGCATTTTGGCAAATCATAAAATAAACGTGGGAATTTAGTGTCATATAAGGTTGAATATTTTCTTTCTTGTATAAGCATTGCGGAAGAATTTTTGATATTGGAGATTTTTGAACATACAATCGTAAATTGCGATTAATATTTTGTATATGGATATTAAAATATTTATTTTGTAAAACCTGTATACACATATATAAACAAAATTCAAAGTTTGAAATACATAGCGTAAATTCTAGGTTCATTATTGTGAAGTAGATTTTTTTTTTAAATATTGACATTATTATTGAATAAACATTAATAAATTGATATCCAAGTATTATCTTAACATCTACAAAAATATTCCATACAAAATATATTCATATATTTAAGTAATTTAGTGATTTTTTAAGGTTTTTATTAATTTAAAAATTTTGTATCATAACAGGCAATAAAAGTTTTAACAAAATCCTTATCGAAAATCTTCAATATTTAAAAATATTATTTTCTCTGATCAGTATCAGATTCAGCATAAAAATTTAAAAGCATATAATATTTACCCGATAGTTAGTTGCCTCAATTAATCGATAAATTCCATGAAATATAATACGATGACCTAAGAATATTATAAGATAGAAACCTTCCTTTCATTAGCAGTCTTTCTCTTTTTGAGTCTCTTTAATATTTAAATTATTTGTTTTTTTATGTAAAAGAACAAATAAGCAATGGAATCTTTAGGATTTATTATCGACCGGCTGCGTGAGACTCCAACCACGTGGAATTAAAAAAAAAACTTAATGAGTTATGTGTTCTTTCAGAGTATGCTCTACATCTGTGCCAAATTGCATCAAGATCCATTCAGCCGTTCCGGAGATACCTTCAAAGAAACATCTCATTATTATTTATAAAAAAAAAATTTAAAACACAGTCTGGTATCACTGATCACAGTCCAACCTTATATTGAGCCTGTAAGCTAACTAGAGGATAACCAAAATCATTTCATACTTCCAGGTTACGTTCAACAAGCGCAAATTCGGCGTGATGAAGAAAGCGTACGAACTGAGCGTGTTGTGCGACTGTGAAATTGCTCTCATCATTTTCAGCTCAAACAACAAACTCTACCAGTATGCCAGCACTGATATGGACAAGGTAAACCGTTCATTTTATATACCGTGGGTTTCTAAGACTAGAATGTCTGTATAAAACATATCGTCACTGTCTTTCATCTTTGACAAAACAATTATAACATGTTTTTAATGGAGTTTTTGGTCTCAGAAACACACAGTTAACATGTTATTACTATATTAATAAAGTAAAAAATGACATTTATGGTAACAATTGTTTAATTTAGGAAAAAATAAAACGAATGTCTGATATCAAACCTATCAAACTCACAAAATACTTGAAACTTACAAAACTCAAATTAAAATTTTAAAGATGTAGCTTAAGTTTTCATTAGTTTTTATTAAAATATTAAAAATAAAGTATAATATTTGATATTAAGAAAATATTCTGATAAATAACTGTATGAAATTACAAGGTATCAGTTTTCATATGATGTTAAAACGTCTAAGGAAATCGTAATGACAACGACACTAAAGGTAATAATTAAACTTTTAAATTATTATATCAATTTAACCGTGTATGGGTTTACATGAAATTCGCATTTAAAGATATCACTAAAAACTGTGTTATCAATAAAGTTATTTCTTTATATTGTACTATTATGAATAAAATATTGCTTCAATAGTATTTACGTTATTCTAAAGTCTCCAGACATGAGAACGACATTCTGACAGACCCGACAAACACATTTGCATAATTTTGTTTCTGTCCTTGTTGGAGACTGACCAAATAAATTGTTAATTAACGAGACATTTCACCTGTTTGGGTATAACTCTTCTACGAACAAATATTTAAATACAAAATAAAAATAACAAGTGAATAAATAGTGAGAAATGAAACTACTAAAAAAAATCTCTTTGGGTCATACTATTCTACTCCGTAAAAACGGACGTCTTTTGATGGGTCATCAAGTCAAATGTCTACGAATGACGCAGTGTTATTGATGTTGTGGGATTGATGGTCATGGGTGCTGTTGTATGGTTGCAGGTTCTTCTCAAGTACACGGAATACAACGAGCCACACGAGTCGCTTACCAACCGCAACATCATCGAGGTACATTAAGTACGGCGTCATCTGTGTGCCCGTGATCGCAATGCAATGTCTATGCAATATTGACTTATCCCATTAACCGCGCGCTTTTACTTACACAAACAAACCTAATGCATATTCAACATTTGTTACTAAAAAAAAATTGAAAAAAAAACAACACTCCGTAGATCTCCATACTACCGTGTATTCCAATAAAGTAATTAAGTTAATCACGTATACCTTAGTATACCAGCATGCCAGTTTATTTCCTGTTAGAAATAATAAAAAAAAGAAAAAACCAAACCAAAACACCAGACCCTCGTGTTTCGTACTAACAGTTTACGACTAGACACCCCAAATGTTTATGTTGTTTTTTTTTCGTTGTTCAGCATGGGTTTTGTAAATATTTTTGTGTTTATTTGAATTAACCATACCTACCTACCACGAGTCCGAGATGTGATACAAGGGTAAAGTCAGTGTTGTATCATTGCATTCGACACTACACACATATGTACGCTAAAAAAATTTCACGTACAATTAAATTAGAGATTAGTGTAATTTTATTTTTTTCTTAATTTTCTTTCTAATTTTATTTGAAGCACTCTTGAACCCTCACTACATCCATAGAGCAATAAGCAAAGCTTATTTCAATTGTGGAACGATTGTCGTAGAAATTAAAATACTAATATGGTTTGTATAGAGGGTGTTTCTAATTTATGCATGTGAAAACCCGCCCATATAGTATATACGATTTTGGCTCGTCAAGCCACCTGAGCTGGTTTCGCTGACACTTACAGGCACTCACGAAGAAAGAGCATAAGAACGGAGTGATGTCACCGGACAGCCCGGAAGCCGAGCCCGAGTACAACCTGACGCCACGCACCGAAGCTAAATACACGAAGATCGACGAAGAGTTCCAAATGATGATGCAAAGGAACCAACTGAACGGCAGCCGAGTGGGCGTAGGCGTGACGGGTGCCAACTACAACCTACCCGTGAGCGTGCCAGTAGGAAGCTACGACCAGTCCATGCTGCAGGCCAGCCCTCAAATGCACACCTCTATCAGTCCACGGCCATCTTCTTCGGAAACCGATTCTGGTAAATACTTTTCACTCTTTTTTACTTGGTTTACCCTATGACTACGATATGCATAGTTGAGAGACAACTACGAACGTTTGAAACTGCTTTATTTTGTTTCGATTAAGAGGAAACTCAAACCTTTATTTCACTACTAACTTAAAACTCTATAATTTCCAGTATACCCTAGCGGAGGAATGTTGGAGATGTCGAACGGCTACCCGGGATCTGCGTCTCCATTAGGCGCGGCGTGCACGCCCTCGCCGTCCCCGGGGCCGGCGCCCTCGCCTCACCGGCACGCGCACAAGCAGCACCACGCGCCGCACCACTCGCCGCGACATAACAACCTGCGCGTCGTCATACCAGGCACCATGCCACCGCCGCAGGACGACATATCCTACACCGGAGAGGTGAGACAACTAACAAAATAGTAGAGAAAAAGAATTGATTAACCGTTGGTTTCTGGTACCAAAATCTCTATATAAAGTATATCATTATCTTTGACAAAACAGAAATAATAGTATGTTTTAATCGAAGATTTTGTCTTAGAAACCCACGGTAGATGATATAGAAAAGATTATGCAGAATCAACGGTGGATATATGATTTGTATTAAAATAAAAACTCAAACTAAACATAAATGTTCAATTTTCAAATAAAAATCTACATTGTTCCCCTCAAATCCTCATACTCTTTGTTAACTTCAAATCCTATTTTGTTCCAAGTTTAAATTATTTTTCACGATTTCCAGACACCACTCAGCTACTCAGGACTCGGCAATTTCGGACCACAGGACTTCAGCATGACCTCGGACATGGGAATCGGACTATCTTGGGGAGCGCACCAGTTGCAGACACTACAGCACAACAGGTACATGTCTGTGCCCAATCTTTTTATATCCAACATCACTATTATCGGTCCATTTATCATGCTTATAATCATCTGCATTTAAACGCGGTGAGTCAAGTAGCCTCATCATTCCTAGCTTTCCTAACTGATTACAACGCGTGCAAAATAACATGAGACCTTCGTTTAGTTTACTCTGTTTTATGCTGCGTTAACAAACGCATATCTCATGTTTTTGTTGAATAGTACATTCCATACTAATTCGGGGCAGCTGGTTACAATTCGTTTCTCCATTCTGTAGTTATTCGTAATTTATAAGAAAATAAGACTAAAAGAATTGCTTATTTATATTTGCACTTATTAACAAATATCCTGCCTCATTTCAAATAATCTGTATGCATTTCAAAATGTACAACATAATGTTAGCTTTGATTGTGTCGATTAACGAGTGATTTAAAAAAAAACTATACAAAAATAAAATTATTTTATTTAATTGCTTTTCACCAAATCATACATCATTGCATGATAAAATACATTTATCATAATTGAAAAACAGTTATTTTTTATAACCAGAATTAAATTCATTTTATTAACATTAAAAAAGAATCTTAACATATACCAATACTACATCGAGTATATGATGACGTATAAACTTAAATGCAAAGATATACTTTGTTTTAAATTTTCATGAAAAAAGTAAAAAAAATTGGCTCCGCCGTAACAGCTTTTCGCTGCCGTGACCAGGATTCGAACCTGGGTTACTACGGCCACAACGTAGGGTCCTAACCACTAGACGATCACGGCTATCGGAGCCAGTGATTGTCAAATGAATTCACCGATTTTATAGTGTTATTGAGGTTAAACATGTTCCGCACGATTACTCTTGTAACGTGTATTTTTTTTTATGTTCAAAACATAGACGAAAACTTGGTAGAAAAACAACAGTAGAGTTAGTTTAAATAGAGTGATTTTGTTTAACTGAATTTACGAGAACCTAATAACTTTCTTGAATTCAATGTATACTTAAAAATAATTTCAATTAGTTTAATAGTGTTTTTAGCGCTATATATTAAAGAGGATTAAGATTGAAGTTTACTCTGCAGTTTGCCGGTACTGGGAGGCGGGGGGACACCGCCGCCCGCGCCGTCGCCTAGCAACGTGAAGATCAAAGCGGAGCCGGTGTCACCGCCGCGAGCGCCCGACCACCTGCACCGCGCGCCGCTCGCACCCGCGCCCGCGCCGCAGCCCGCGCATCTCTCTGGAGTCATCGATGGTGAGATCACTTTACATATAACACCCCTAACAATAACTACACCTAGATCTAACCTATAGTAATTTTAACTGACTTTTTTTTTACCAGTATGACCTTTTTACTTTATATCTCTTCCTTCAAACTCCAAAGAGATTATTGCTTAATATAGATAAATAAATGTTCCATGACTGCCAATCTTATAATAACATTGTATGTTGCATACTTGATAAGGAATAACTTTTTGAATTAGACTTTACCATATAGTTAGATATATTCATTTCAGGTTCAGTAACGTCAAGCAACATGGGCTCGCCGGCCGGGCAGGACATGCGGCACGCGAACACCGTGCCGCTGGACTACGAGCAGCCGCACACGAAGCGGCAGCGGATCGAGGGGTGGGCCACATAGCTAGGCTGCGAGGCCTTCGGCCCCTGCCCGAGGCCCCTGCACCCGCACTGCTGAACCCCCAGCCCCGGTACCGTCCTGCCGTCCTACGTTCTATATCACAACCCACACCGGCTCTTTCCCTCGGTGCTGAATTCAAAATATATCAGTGCTAAACTATCTAAAGTCTGACATGGTAAGGTGCATCTCAATTGAAGGTGCTCAAAATTGATGGCACGGTACGCGTATTGGACATTACATTTCAAAAGCTCCGTCGGAAAGGAGCTGATGCTAAATATTTCCTTTCATAGAATGAGTCGATGACAGCAGAACAAATGCTTACCCCTTCTTTAATACGTAATTACTATATTTGCACGTGCAAGTACACTAAAGAGTAAGGTTAAATGTTAAATTTAAGTACAATGTTACAGATAAATGCAAACTTCTTGAACAACTTTTTTGTAATAATTTAAACGTACATAAGGTATACATAGGTCGCTGTATCCCATGTAAATAGAAAACATTATATGTACAATCCGTGCCATTGTCTGTTTAGCTTAAAATTTAGTCAATTTAAAATTAGTAATAGTAAGTGAAGACAAACGTTGAGGTTCAAATGAGGGAACTGTCTGTGAGCAGCCGAGTGACGTAGTGCGACGTGGCGACGTAGTCCGAGGTAGTGCGTCGTGGCGACGTAGTCCGAGGTAGTGCGACACGGCGACGTAGTGCGACGTGGCGACGTAGTGCGTAGCAAAGACAACAGTGTGCAAGTGCGTGACAGACTACAAAACGAATGTTGACATTTGTGTTAGTGTTTTAAAAGTTTTTTTGTGCCATTTTAAAAATATAATTATAGTGTGACATCCGAACTTTGAATCTTTGTAAATTAAGTAAGCGTAGTCATCACTGAAGATAATAAGTTATATGTATTGGAAATTGTATGTATTGACATATTTATACATGAGAACATAATAATATTTACATAATATGTATACACGTCCCGTTAGGAACGAATGTTATGTAATATAAGTAGATAATGTTAGCTAGACTCGATATGAAGGTACCACACGAAGCTTTAAAATTCTTATGATTACACTCGCACTCTACGCAGTCTCGTAAGCGAACAAACACCGTTTACATTGTATGGAAACTAGAGCCCTGCAACTTACCTCTCCTCTCTCGCTCAAACACTACTCACTAATATGTCTATACACAGAACTTGATAAACCTAACGAAGGTGCGGGAAACTCATTGTCAGACCAAAAAAAAAATCAAAGTCAATTTTGAATATCATAAATTGTAAAAGCGTACTTGTAAAGTACATATGTAAGTATTTATGTATCTATTTAGTGGCTGTCGGTTGCTAAATGAAAAGTTAAAGCTTGTTAGAATGATATTTTGTTAATGTGATCTGAAGCTGTAACGATTCTATTTAACTCGTAAGAGAATATATCCATCTAATTATATAAAATAGCTTTACAGATACACAAAAGAAATATATTTATCACATGAAAAAATAACCTATTTTGGTACAGCACTATAAAATCACGTCCGCCCTATTTTTAGATATTATGTAAACACTGTATAATACAATAAATTTAGTATATAAATATATAAACAGCTTATGTATAAATATTTATCATTGTTTTTATATCATTGTTTGCATCATTATTGATGTCGCTTGAACCTGTTCTCCTTTTCCTATAAAAATCATCTCGGAATTAAAAAAATAAATGTTTTTAAAATAATGAATCATCCTGTGATGGATTTTGTTTTTTGTTATCATTGATCCCTTGTAATCTGTTCACTGTAGTTGCCTTATTCACTGTGCCTAATGTGACCATTTTATACGATGTTTGTATTTATATATTGCTTGAATCTTCATAATAACAGATAATTTTAAATGTACAATGTTATTGTTATCACCTAATTGGTGTCATTATTGATGTATGAAGTACCATTGTCTTCATGATTTTGTTATACAAATATATTGTTAGTACGGACATAAATTTGTCATTGTAAATATTTATAATATAAAATAACACGTGTATACATGAATTAGAGGAATACTTCACATCACAGTAACAAAATTTTAATATGTATTAGTTAAATGTACAGGGATGTAACCAGTTTTGATGTTCAAAAGTCTGAACGATTATAAAAATGTATTTTTCGCATTGTAAAATATACACGACTAGTTTATAAAGTTGAAATATTTTAATACTTGTACGTAATCAATGTTGTCCCCAACTACGGGATTTATATAAAATTGGTGTACTTTAAATGTTAGTATTATATTGTTGATGTGATAACACACTGTTATGATTCTTGTAAAGAAATTCTAAAATACAGTTTACTCCGTTTCGGTTATCCGTTCCTAGTAGTTTGTTGCCGTAGAATTCCACTGTGTTGATATTTTTTGACAAAACAAAAACATACATGCACTAATAGAATTACGACAGTGAAATTCTACGGTTACAGAATTGATTTTGCATTCTAGAAAATTGCTCAAACGTTAAGTTTTGGTCGTATGAAATTGTTTGGAAATGATCCTTGAATTTTTTCTTGTCCTTAGTAGCTTGTTTCAAAAGTTACCTGTCTATCAAAGATTCTGATACTCTGATCAAATTGTTAAATGTAAAAAACTGGTGTTAATACATTTACTTAGAAATAATATCTATTTAAAGATGAGTTTATTTACAATAAATGTAGCTCGTCTTAATCGAAATACTTGAATTCACATATGAGACAAAGCGTCATTGACCGCATTGTTGAAGCACATGTACTAAAATGTTGTCATCTCTCTTACTCTCTTTTATAAAACAGAGATAACTATATGTTTGTATTAGTGTTTCGTCAGTGTCAACTCGATGATGTTAGCTAGTTTGTCGACTGCACATAATATATTTTAACTTCTTGTATAAAATATTTGATCAGTAAGCTGGTATTGGGAGCATAATTTCCGAGGTTGTGAGCTTTGCTATCGGGAATGATTTCACATTTAATTAATTATTAATATTTAATTATTCATTTGGACGCACAACCGTGTTGTGTGTTATTGTAAAAAGCGTTTGATCGTTTTGTTTTTTAGTATTACCTACATTTGTGCATGTTTACCTTGACGCTGTGTACCAATAGCAAAGGGCTATACACCTTCCGTTCAGCTTATAGAATTATAAATTTGTTGCATTTAATAAAAGATAGTAATAAGTGTATATTGTTTGACATCGCTTGAGATATTGCGCGGTAGTTTGAAGCCACGCCTGACCCGTCTCTTGCTATTGCTCCACAGCCTTCCTTATGTACGACCCTAATAGATTTTAGATATATCTATGAATACATATCCTTTATGAATACTCAAGTCGATTTCACAGTTGTTCGTTTTGTAACATCAGTCGTGCAATACGTAATGTAACAAATGCTTAGGTAGGTATTAGGTATATTTTCGTTTGAATTTACAACAAATCGAAATCTTGTTGTATTTTATCGATATTTTTACTGTTAGTGTCGAGACGGCTGCGATTTTTCGGAGCCGTCTCATGGGAATTTAAGTCATATTGCATAATTATTTTGTAAGTGTGAGGCCGGGCCAAATATTGCATTACGTAAGGTCGGTTATTGTGTGCGGCGTGTCAGCCAGCCAGCCGACTCTGCCCTGTATAAAGTATGAATTGTGAACATCGACAACATCTCAGTGGTTTGATGGATTGGTATTTTAATGTTAATGGACAGTGTTAGAAAATTGTTATAAATTATTTTGATGACTGTTCGAACGATAATAAAGAGTTGGATGTCAAAATTGTATGTCATTTCTTAATGTCATTTTACACTCACGACTATCCTTTTCTCTAAACAGATATATAAACACGGCTAAACACTCACGTATATCCGTCCGGTTTCCGGTTTTATATATCAGTTTCCGGGTATCAAGTTCAGGTTCCGGGTTTCGTCCGGTCCGGGTTTATATATCAGTTAAGTATAATGTCTCACGAAATTTAAATATTTAATATCCTTTTCTCTCTCTACAAACTACAAACGATATAAACCAAACATGATTTATTACTTAGAACACATTCACTGCCATTATTTTTACATGTTAAAATGATTCTTAGAGCTAGTTGTTAAAAAATCTCCAATTTAAATTCAATCACATTTATATTATCTAACTTGTTTTAAATTACTTCAAGTAGGTAAATATAAGAATCACACACTAACTCTATTTGTTCACATATTCTCCAACAGGACTGTTTGTTTTTACACCTTCAATCTCAAATAATCTTTGTTCCAAAGCATGTTTCGTATGATTCATTTCAAATATCTCCTGAACTTCTCTATCCATATCCGCAGAACTTGATTTCGAACTAAATTCAAATACATTAAACTCATTATGTACTGTAATACTTTCTTCTGAAACATTTATAATTTGACCGTTCAACGAATCTGTGGATTCACTTGTATTTAAACCGTTTTCACGGATCTCATACGCGTTGGGTATTAAATTTTCTGAACTAAGAGAAGAAGGTTTTGTTCGTTTCATTGTACATTTTCTTGAACAACCTCCCATCCATTCGCTTAAAAGGGCTCCACTAGCTATTAGGAACCCAGCACCGAGAAGAAGAAACATTCCTTGCGTATCTTCTAGAGTCAGTCCTTTCTCTTGTACTGAATTTACTTTTTGCGACACTTTACCCACCTGAAATGTTGAAGTCATAACTTACCTATTCTATGTGCAAGACTTGTTTTTTGTAAAAATGCATAAAGATTAAAAAGGGAGAAATCATCATCTCCCTATCGCATTCTCGTAGGATCGGCATAAAGTAAATAAAAATATTAATAAACATATTCCTAGAATAATTTAACTTTTGCTGACTTGACTACTTATTTTTACCCTCTCACGTAATGATTAGGTCTATCATTGAGTATTAATCGTTATCTTGTGGAATGAAAAGTTTCTGAATTAGTTAGGATAAACTTAAACCTATTTCATACCGATAATCTTCCAGTGGAACTCCGTTGTATTTCCCAACGGACCTCATCAACGATTTTATTTATGATTCCGCTCTGCAGTAACCTACTAACGTCACCGCTGAGCTTGTCGTGGTACACGGAGTTCCGAGGAAAGCCCAGTGCTACTTGAAACGGCGCGAAGCATTCACTTGATATGTGTAACTTGGCACGTTTGGAACTGGAAATTAAAACTGTCAATTAGAAGGGCCTATTTTAAGACCTTCAAGTAAAGTATTAGATATAACAAATAAGTTAACTGACATATAATACTTGTTGTTAAAATAGTTATCGTTTCACAGATTGTGAAACATGAACGACAACTTTATTTAATAATTGTGTTCCAAGTAACTGATTCATGACTTACTTGAACTTAATGAAACATATCATAATATAAATAGCAACAACAAGATGACTCCAATGGGTTATTTTAACCAGAAGTCACTTTTCGACAAAATAGGGTACATATAAATATATCAAAAATTTATTTACAGAAACCGATTATTTAGAGCAACTCATTTGAGACGTTGGCTATTGAGCTCATGATGGTCTTTCAAACTGTCGACTTCTAAGTTATTAATTACCTTATAAATATTTAAATACAGTTTTATTTCTAGTGTTACATAATTGTTAACATGCCTCATATCAGTAAAATTTGCAAGAACGATATATTCGAGTTCAGCTTGTGATCCTAAAAATGCATACGGCCAGAAGAACGCCCTTGTAACATTTCTGATGCCTGACCTCACATCTGGTACGTATTCTATTTTCTTAAAAAGTTTATTTGTGTTAGGGTCGGAAGAATTTAGGAACCATGTTTCCCATCCGCCTCTATCTGAAAAATGTAAAGATGAAACATATTTTGGATAGTATATTAAGCTAACATATTTATTAAAAATTTTATATGTCCATTTATTGATTTATAATATGACCAATTACCTTACCTAAAGTGCCAACTCTATAAAATCCCGTAAGCAATTGTTTAATGGTATCAACGGTATCTGGGAAAATTGGCAAAGTGACAAACGCAATGATACATCCAGTGTAGCAACTCGTTATTATTATTGTAAACAGCCAGTACCAACCTTAAAAACAAATTATTACAGTAAAAAGAAAAAATCGAATATAGTACAAAATATACAAAAGTCATACCGATGAGTAGTCTTGTAGTGATCTTCGTCGTCTTACTCCACGAATTTTTACCCACAAAAGTGAAACAATTCGTAAAAGTTCCAAAAACGTACCAAAACATATTCTCCACTTCACCTGAATTGTTAATCAAATGCCGTAAAGTATGTTTATCAGAAAAGGCTAGAGGAAAAATGGCGAGCAAGTACGTAATCGTCAGTGCTAACCAAACATGCCAATGAAATGGTCCTAGAATTGCTCGATATCTGAAAAAAAACTAATGGTAGATTTAGTTGCCTAGTAATGGTATTTTGACACCAAAATCCCCGTTTAAAACATAATGTTATCTCTATTTTAACAAAGATAATGACAGGGCTGGCCATATGTTTTATACAGAGATTTTGGTCTCGGTAACCAAAAGTATGTCTCGCCAATGTAACAGTCTTCATACCTAGGTAAAGCAGTGGACATGAGTGTTATGAAAACTGCACAATCATGCGAATGTGGGAAACTTAAATCCAAGTTAAACAATCTCTCGCTCGTTACATACAAGCCCGCAGCTGCTATGTCCGCTCTATCCATCATAACTTCTTTTACAACAGCTGCACCTGGTCTAAAAAGTGTACATTTTTAGTATCTTGTATCGATCTCGATTAAGTATTATATACTTACAATAATTAATAATTTTCTTACCCCAAACTTAAATCACGCGGTTCAACAATCTCAATTGAAAAGTTATTTCTTTTAGCTAACAAATTCAGAAGTCTCATCTCAATTCCGTCCCAAGTTACTTTCATATTACCGTCCTTGGGGTCGATTATGATCCTAAATATTTAACAATTAATAAAATATTTAGCTTTCAAATAATCTAATAGAGCGTCGATGGCTCAGGGGCTAAAGCACTGGAGTTCTAATCTGCAGGTCCTGTGTTCGAATCCGGCCATAACAACGCGTTTTTCAATTTACACATGTACATTTATCCGAAATTATTACGGTGAAGGAAAACATCGTGATGCAACCTGCAAATATCGAAGAAGTTATGTGTGGAGACAACCAAACCACATTGGGTCAGCGTGGCTGACTATGGTCTAGTCCCTAACTTATGGTAGGCTCCGAGCTCTCCGATGGGGATGTATTTTGAGCTAATGATGAAATAACCTATTCTATAATCCTACAATTTACCTTTTAAATATGAATGGCGGTATATCTGAAGCTGCTACAGTGAATCGGTGGCCTGCATACCCTTTAATCACTTTAGAGGGAAATAAATTAACTTGTCTAGAAAATTTATTATCAGACCAAGAGTTTAGTACAACAGGTTTACTAGCGCCTAAGCCATCTGTATACAATTCGTGCGTATATAAAATATATGGGGCTTCCTGGAATTAATAAATCCAATAAAAACATTTGGAAAATCATAAAAAAAGAATCATTTCAAGTATCTAGTTGCAACAAGATAATCTAACAAATTACCGCTTTATTGCCTTTTTCTCTGAAGCTTTGTCCAATTATGAGTAAATTGATAAACATCCTAGAAAGATGACTTGAGAGAAATTCATGTACAGTCCATTGCGATGATCTTGCTACTACTATTACCTTACTTTCAGATTGTTTGCCCAATACATTCGCTATTCTTTTCACATCTGATAGAAATACTATGTAATGGAGACAATGTTGACGAATTGTTAATAAATTTGGTTCTTTCAATTTATTATTGTCGTCAATATAACCATGAGTGAAGGATGTAGGAAAATTCTTCAAGAAATTTTGGAATAATTGAATCTCTTCCGTTTTAACTTTTTTATCATAAAGTATAATCGGAGTGCAATCCTTTAAATATGTTAGTGTTATATTATGAAGTAAGGATATGAGGGAAGATCTAAGATTATTCGGATTCATTTCTCTTAAAAAGTGTTCATGCCATAACTCTTCTTTTGTTTCAGGATTGCCATGAAACACTGGATCTATCGCCCTCTTAGCTGGACTTTCAAACATTGTCCTATTACTTTGAAAAGGTTTCCAATCTGAATAAATGTTATATTTTGCAACCATTCCTTTGGAATAAGGTTTATCTTTCCTTCCAACCGTAACATGCTTTATTTTGCTCTTTGTCAATAGTGATTGAGACGCGTAGAATTCTATTTGCTGGCTGATAACTTCATTATTAAAAGTAAATAAAAACATTATTTGCAAAAACTTCATTCTGTTTTATCAGTGGTGGTTCGGTAATGTGTGAAATAAAGCCTCGTTCTACCTTTATGTAGTGTTTTGTTTGACCTTGATGCATGATACAGTGGTCAGGTGATATGATTGAATTTTAATTTTTTATGACTCCATCGCTACGTTTCGATCATGAACACTAAAAACGGATCATAAAGTAATTCTTCGGACTGTACGAACTATGAAATATATAACAACCAAAGACATTCAACTTTTATCAATGGACAGTGTTTCAAAAAACAAACCTAATAAGGTTGTCTTGGAAGACCTTGTATTTGGGTATGTTAAGTTTCCTAAATGAAGAAAATAATTGAAACATCAGATAATTTGTAGCGTTTATTATTTATTATCGATCACATAATTTCTTTACAAAAACATATTAATAAATCGATAGCAAATTACATTACCCCCTTGCTCTAAACGACACTGGGCTCAATAATTGTCATGTCAAAGATAAAATCGAAATAGCCGGGTACATATAAAAAATAATGCTTATGTGAAAAAGGTATATCCAATATTAAATACTAAATCTATATTTACAATAATAGTACTTAATAAAAAAAAATCTAATTTTAAATAGATTCGTAGCAAGCGCTTTTAACCACTTTAGTTGCTTTAGCATACCAAAGCTAAAATTAAAACTAAAATTAGGAAATTTATAGCGCGTATGCTTGTGGTTCCAAAACTGGTACGATTGTTATTTTTGAATTATTATTATAATTGAATTATAGGTAGTTGATTTAATAAATATGTCATTTTAGTTGTCGCGTAGACATGTGCTACATCAGAGCGATGTAGACAGACGTCTACGCAATGCTAAGATATTTGTAAAAAAAAATATTTATACGCGTTTCCAAGTCAAGACAAATAAAAGTTACTTTAAAAAGTAGTAATTAAAATATTTTATTAATTCAACTATTGTTTAGAGAAAATTATAGGATGGATATTATTGTAAAATATTGTGAGCAAAATTTGATTTGTAAAGTTATATGTAATTAACGAATTTAAGCGTAAAAGGAGGCGTATCTTTTATTTACAAATGTCTTGCTTTAGATCAGCGTAAACCTATCTTTAATCATATTTTTAACACGCCGTTATCTAGATATGAAACTTATTCTATATCTAAATATAAACTAATACTATATTTACATTTTATTCAAAAAAGGCAGTGTCAACTACAAAGCTGGCAAGATCAGAAAATTATTTTCTAAATTTTAATATGGCTTCCATATGGACAGTCAGATCTTCGTGAAACTGATACAAAAAATCTATAGAAAACTTTCTTTCGACAATTAATTACGAAGTAACATAATAGATATAAAATTGGCAAAGTTTTACAAACTTTTCTGATACTAAAATTCATAGTTAATTAGAATAAAAGTTACATGAGTATACAGGATGATTGAAAACACATAATATCACAGTTTCCAATACAAAATACAACGGGTAGCTTATACAGGGCGAGTTTACACCATTATTTCAAATGAAATTGTTTTGGATCAAACATTTTTGTGACCACCGAAATCTAAATGGCACTCTGTAGCTGGTAATAAACAATTTCTATTATCAAATAATTTACATGAGAATGTCCTTGCCTCGTTGGCTTATTATTTTACTTATATCACTTGTCAAGGACGGACACGTTTTTCTATTAAGCTATTACGTATTAATTATTCGTCGATTTCATTGTCGATGCGTGATGATTTGATACCGGTCTTTCCTGTCCAGGGGTAGATCTCCGGGCACGGTTGGCACGTTCTCATGTATCTCACACCAGATTTATGCCAGAGGTTGCAAACCTTTGGGTTGTTGCATTTTTTCGGACGATCCTGAAAAAAGGAGAGATTAATTAGAGCCAGTTGGCAGCTAAAAAGGTAGGTTAGGTTTGTACTCATGTTGCTTTTAAAATTAAATTAATCTGATTTTATTTAAAAAAAATGTAAAGAGTTTTTAATCATGACTTGTTTGGGTTACTTACTGGGTAGTTGCACTGGAAGGGCTGGAAGTTATTGAGCCTGGAGATGGGCGTGGGGTCGCGCACCCACTGTAACGCCTGCCAGTTGGTCACGATCCACACGTCCTTCATCTTATTGATGTAATCGAGGAACATTATGAAGCCCTCTTTGTGGTGCGGCTGCGTGAACCACGCCGCGTGGTAGAACAGACCGAATGGAGCTCTGGAATACGTATTTATTTAATGTAGTAAGTATTAGCCGATAATTTTCTAATGTTTCTTTTTACCATTCCAACTAAGCTCTATGCTTGTGTCACGTGGTCCAAGATAACAGTGTAATAGCGAGGATTCAAACCCACGACACGATGGACGGTTGTCCGTAGCCTTACCCATTAAGCTAATAGTGCTTCATTATATGTATTAATTTAAGAAGTTTTACTGCCACACTCAGAGGCATTTAACCGAGACACTTAGTACGAGAAATCTACTAATTAAGTGACCATTAAACGATTCTCAATGACTAGCATTACCTGTTCGTAGTATAATGTCTATCGAAGTTCTTGAGCAGCATCTTGTAGACGCCCTCGGCCTCAGGCGGGTTGGCGCACGCGTCGCCCATCGAGCACCTGCCGCCGTTCAGGTCCTGCCACATCACCATAGGCACTTCCCAAACACCTGAAATTACATACAATAATTTCATGGTCACATGGTGCTTTCACCATTTTTAAATCTTTCCAAAAGGTATGAGAAACTGCTATCAAACATTAAAGGAAAAGTATTCAAAATAATTTGTCGAAAGTTTTCTACAGTTTTGGGTACAGGAACAGTTTTACAGAAAAATCTAAATAAAAAGGTTAACATACCTGGGTAAGATTTCGTGGGGCAAGGCGGAATCATGCAGTCATGGAACAACTTGTAGTCAAGGGTGTACGGCCAGCTTGGCGGTTTATTCTCATAGACTGGCAGCGAGGAGTCGTAAGTGAAATTTGAGTCGTACAACATTTTGAACATCTTGTTGCCGCCTACAGAAAGGAAGGGAGCTCGCATACCACGAATGTCTTCTAATTTCACTCCACCGTAAGCCGCCAAAATTTCCCTTTGTCCACCCACTTCTCTGTTCCATTTCTTTTGAGAGAATTGTTCTCCAAAACTGTGACTGAAATTTGGGAACAATTTATTAATTTTCCAATATTAAAATATGACAAAAGTTAGTACGTGATTAAAATGAAAATAAAGAAAAGTTAATATTATAAAGAAAATAGATCAGCATTATAAAGAAGACTTTAGTAGATAAATAATATTGATATAATAATGTGTGCAATTACTACGGCATGGTGCATTTATTATATTTAAAAACTTACGAGACTGTGTGCGATGCCATCTCATGTCCCGAAGCGTAAAGGTTCTGTACTTGACTGTAATCGGTCCATTCGTGGGAGACGTAAAAGGTTGCACTAATCGGGCAACCGTTAGGGTTTACGCGACCTTTCTCAAACAGATCCGAGTACAGAACTTTGTTCAGGTCGTTAACAGAATCGTCAAATGTCAGCAGGACAATCTGAGGCACACTCTCCACCGGTAAATCACCTGTTTCGCCGCGGGGTGTAGGTAAATGATCGTGCATGTGGTTATTGGTACCGATAGTGCCAGGAAGAGGTAATATAAGATAGGTATAGAGGAAGGAAAAGAAAAACAAAAGAAAAATATTAATGAAAATAAAACCAAACATAATTGATAACATAACTAGATATTTTAGATATACCAGTATAGATGGCCAAGAATCGTTAGTATAGTTGAAAAGTCAAACATTCTCTGTACTAATAATTGTTCAAATAATGTTCGACCTTTAGATTATTGCTCAAGATACCAAGATGCACAAGGCCCAATAGATGTAGATCTCGTAGACTTACGATATTGTGTGTGACGCAAATTCGTGGCCATCAGCATACAGGTTTTGTACTTGGCTATAGTCGGTCCACTCATGAGATACATAGAAAGTAGAAGATATCGGACATCCGTTAGGATTGACCCGTCCTTTTTCGAAAAGCTCTTCGTAGTACATCTTATTCAAATCATTCACAGCGTCGTCGAATGTGATAAGAACCATTTGTGGCACTTCCTCAACGGGTAAATTTCCTAAAGTAGCCAGTTATTTTAATAGAAGTCCATTGTTAATTGTAAAAGCGTGGTATCTCACAGTGGAAATCATAATAATCAAAAATATACTACTTTTAGTCAATCCTCGTGACCAAAACTCGTAGTCTGTCGCAGAACATAAGTAATTGTGTAGATAGAAGCATTCAGTTTCGTTAATGGTAATCCTTTGAATATGTCCAGTAGTGGTTACTGAAGTATATTTATACTGTCTAAATGAGAAACCTGAACACAACAATAATAAACGAATAACGTACCAGGAATGTCCTTGCCACCGCAATAACAGTCTGGTAAGAGACAGACGTCTTTGCGGCACTTGGCGGCGGTCTTGTCCGGCGTGGGCTGGGGATAAACCGGTGCAGGCCGGCGTGCAGGGTAAGCGTAGATGTCAACGAACTTCGTGTCGGAAACGATTGCTGTCGAGGGTTTGAGAGTTGGACGACTGCGGCTGCTCAGAAATATTAATAGTTGTAATTTTAAAATGAAAATAATAGGAAAAGCTTAAATAATACATTGTAATATGAAGTTAATAAAAATTTACCAAGTAATTTTCTTATTTTTCCAACTTTTGGGATTGGTTCATCTTCCTAGCAAGTATTTTTACGACCTACCATCCGATATATCTATAATTCTCATTCTCCGGTTCTGGACTTACGTTCCAGTGCTAGTTATAAAAGACATTTATTCTTAGACATTTTTTGATAGAAGTTAATGCGAGAAACGAAATATAGGTAGGTGATATAGAAATTGTAGTTCTATACCAAGGGAATAAAGTAGAATTTCAACTACAAATGAATGTAGTAGAAGTAGCCTAATTAAAAAATGAATTAATTCTAACGTTGGTGGTGTTCCTCTGTTGGTTTGTTGCTGCGGCGCATCAGAGCCGCTCAGTGTGGAGTAATGTGCCGACCCTCGACCGCGAGTGCTGCTAGGCCTGCCAAATTCAAAAGTATCCAATCAGTTGTTCGTTTAATACGGAGACATTAGTACGCGTGAATTTAAAGAGAAGCAATCGGAATCATTATTTGATGCATTTAGTTCTTGATTCGTATCCTTATAATTCCAATATAGTTTTAAAACTTTAGTTAATCTAAGCTTGATAAATATAAGTTACTACCGATCAATCACATATGTGATTGGATCGAGTAATCATTTCATAGTATTAAACATTCCTTATTCATGCAATGAGAAAATAAAACTTTCAGCAAACTAATATTATAATTATTCATTGTGATACTGTGCATATTCTAACTAAATCAACTAATGGATGGAATGCAATGAGGTGCAAATGCAGGCATTGAGGAACTTTTACATCATAATTTATCATTAAAACCAATACATTTTATATTAAACAAAACAATAAAACATTGACTAAAAACCTCAAAGGAAATGGCCACGTCAGGAGTTAACAATTCAAATGATACAAATCAATTCAGTTGAACCAGTTTGAAGTCCCCCAATGAGTATAGAATGACAAGCGACAGAATTTAGCAGTAGGTGCCATTAAACGGTTTTAAAGGATATTGTAATCTCATGCTAGTTACTTCGCGAGGCGGAAAATGAGGACATTTAAACGAAGCCTCCACCGTCCATTACTCAGGTAAATATTTAAACATCAGGCTGCATTGACTACTGGGCGGCGAGCTATGTACCTCTGGTATTTGATTTCGTTGCATTTTGGATTGGCTTGCAGACTGTTGTCTGTTGAGCAATTGGTCGACGATTGGTAACTCCTGCGTCCACCTCCAAGATTTGCCGCGGCTAACTTTATAGCAGGATTTACACGAGAGGCTCGTGTCGGGAAGGATAAGCTTTTAGTAGTCGTTTTCGTCTCAAGTTTTGCGGTCGTAGTCGATTTAGTAGTACTTGTCGTTGAAGCAACATCAGGTAGAACCGGTAAAAGTTGATATTGCTCCGTCTCAGTTGTTGTGGAAATTGGTTCTTCGTCTATTAGTGTAGGTTTTGTCGTTTCAACATTAAGATCGATATTCGGAGTAGTCGAAAAAACGCTTTCCTTACTGGGCTGCCTATCATTGATAATGTCTTTATATTTATAAGAATTTTCAAAGGGAGATGAACTAGATACTATTTTTCTGAATTTCGATTGTATAGGTTTTTTATTGATTTTAATATTTTCTATTTCTTTAACCGTTGTTTCTGGATTAATGTGATATGACGGAGTAGTAGTAATATAAGATGGTGTAGAAATATCATCTAAAAATGAACCTTTTTGAACGCTGTCGTAAGATTCGGTGAAAGAAAGTGAATCGACACTGGGAGGTATGAATCTACTGACACTTGGTTCCGTTAAAATTTGCAAATATTTTATATTACTTCGAATTGGTTTATCCTCAATATATTTTGATACTTTTTTCTGATATCCTATATTGACCACAGTTTCTGGTGTAGTTGTTGTTTTAGGAGTTGTGGTAAAGATTTCTTCTGTATTTCTCGAATTCGAAGCTAAATTATTAAAGAAAGCTTGAATTACATTTCTTACTTTGCCACTAAATACTTCTGTTGTATGATCTGGTACAATTTCGTCGTTTAAATTATAACTATAATATGATGGGTTCCGCAGCGAATATTTATTTATGATACCTTTTGTTTGATCAAACTGTTTAAGTGTAGTTGTATACGTCGTGGTTGATGTCGAACTAGAAGTGTAGTCATTTATGGAATCATCTACATATGAGTTCCTTAAATTATCTAAACTTTTGTAGGGAGACACTAACGGTTCTTCAATTTTATCATCGCCAACTTCTGAAAGAGGATCTTCAACCACTAAACTATCCATATTTTCTGTAAGCAATGGAACTGTGTCATTAGCTACAAGTGGTTCATCATTACTATGGTCATTGTAATTTATTGCATTTTCTGTAGATTCTTTAAACGTTTCTGAGGTTACGGAAACTGGTGCCGGTCGTCTAGCGTTTCTAAGGTAATATTTTGTTTTCTCGACGGTTACAGGTGTAGTATTTATTCTTACTCTATGCCTTTCGTTTCTGTGTTCCAATATGACGTCATCATTTATTTCTTTTATAGTAGTTTTGACAGAGGGCAATCGAGTTTTTCTACTTTTTGGATTTATGGAAGTGGTTTCAACGTTATAGCTATTAACTAGTACTTTTGCGTTGACAGGCTCCGCAATGTTGTCGTTGTTAGTACTGTAGTATAATCTTTTTGAATCACTTTCACTTGGGCGAACTTCGTAATCAATTACCTTTTGTGATGTTGGATAATCGTCGTAAGGCCTAGTTATAAGTGTTAGAGTGTACGCATTTTTACTACTATTTGTATTTCTTCTGATAGAAAATCCTGTTGTTAATGTAGAAGATTTTTTATTATCATTCAACCTTACTAACTTGACATCGTCCTTACTGTTGCTGTTAGTCCTCGGAGTAGAAAGTCTACGCGTCGGCAGTCTTTCAGTCGTCACTGCAGAGTCTTCGAACCTACGTGAGTTATCAGTCTTTCGAAAAGGTTTAGCACGGGATGAAAAATTGATGACTTGCGGAGGAGTAGGATAAGTGGTACTGGTATCATTTAAGGTATTCGAGGACGAGGTAGTAACGGGACGTTCATCTGCAGATAATCTGTTGAATACAAAGCAAAAGAAAACTATCTGATTTAAGCTCTAACAACATCAGTTGCCAATAAGCTCACTAAGGATCCAATCAACATAAATATTGTTAATAAGTGTACAAATACAAAAAGCTTATTAATCTAAAATATTTATATTTTATAAGTGTTAATATTCCCATAAAAAATTGTATGTCGAAAGTATAATTGAAAAAGTATTAATTTTAGTGTACATCGTGTTGCACTCACAATTTAAAAGATACCACAAAAGTTTGTTGTAGTGGAATGTCGTCTAATTTAAAATAAATAACCAATGTAGCAAAACATTTGTTATCGACTACCTCAACACAACCTTCAAACATACATAGAAATATGAAAGAGAAGAGGAAGAATAAGAAGAAAAACATGTAAGTAAACGAAAATTAATGAATGGTTAGTTATTAGTCATCAGTTCAAAGGTTGCATTTTTAATTACGAAAATATATATTGAATACAATGTATGAATGAATAAAAAGTGAAACATGAATGTATTAATGAATTTTAACACAATGATAAGCATGAAATAGAATGCATATAACTTTCTTATTTAGGTATCTTTTGTAGTACCTTGAAGTAAATCGAGACGGAGTCATTGCTTCTGTGAAGAGTGCAGTAGTAGGACGTTGTGTGGTTGTGGTGGTGGTCGTGGTAGTCGTGGTCGTGGTTGTGGTTGTGCTAGTCGTAGGAGGAGGAGTGCGTTTAGAAGTAGCTTCATAAACAGTCGTCCGCACGCTGCTCGGGTTATGTTCGTAGCCCAATTCATTACCTTCGCCCCTGAATTGTTTTAATTCAATAGCATATTATATAGTGTGACTAAATTATGTTACTGCCAAATTAAAATTAATGTTATTATCCATTAAAAGCGAAATCAAAAAACTTTACCTTGTCGAATGACGAACGGGTGGTTGATATTGATTTTGGGTATTTATCTAAAAAATTTAAAGTCAATTAATATCATGTTACACAAGATTTTTTACTCTAAGGTTCTAAAGTAATACCTGTCCTTGAATAAGGGCGTCATCGTAATCATCGGAAGATACAGGTCTGGCTGTATAGGTCTCGACAGGTCTGCGAGACGGCGGAGGAGTACCTCTATACGTTTGCTGCACTGCAGGTCGTAGAGATGCAGTGTTATATTGTTGGACGTAATCTGGCGAAAAAATGCCAAATTCGTTAAAAATTCATAACAGTAGTAGGGGGAGTCGTTTTTATGTGATTTAATTTGGTTGTTATTTAATCATAAAAAACGTAGTTCCTAACTTAAGTCTCACCTGTATCTTTGTAAAGTTCACCATCTTCGTCGTAAACAGCATAGTAAGGATCAAATTGATCTGGACTATAGCTCTGTGATCCATTGTAGAGCATTTTAGGTCGTGGACTTGGCGAATAAGACGACGGGGTAATACTCTCGGTCGGTTCCAAGCTGAAAAAAAATCTTTCATAGTTTATTTCTTTATCGGAGTCGAAAAATCACGTCATGTCATAATTCTGTCTAAAAGTCAAAGTCAGTACATATTGTCTTCAGTACAAAGATTTCTTCTTGTTAGTTGTTTTATTTTGCTATTCACAAAATAGACTTGATAAGATTTAGATAAGGTCAACCGTTAAATATTTTCGTTTACCTGTTAGATTTGTCATCGTGCTTAGTTTTTGTCTGTCTAGTCTCTTGGTTATAGCTGTCGTGGGGTGTGGTAAGCATCTGAGCTACAATGTTCGGATGTCTGTCCCTAACATTCTTTTGTTTGTCCAAATTGTATTCATCCACAGGCTTAGCTAATCTATGTCTCACTGTGTACGGTCTCAAGGTAGTCTGATTTAAATATTTTGGAGGACTCATTGTAAAAGGTCCATTTTGGTTACGTATTGGTTTTCTTAAAGACATAGTTTTGTTTCGTGGTGCTAGATGATTTATTTCATACGTAGAAATAACAGGACGATCTTTATTAGAATGATGCATTCGTGGTGGAAAAGGTTCCGTTTTACCCACCGAATGTTTATCTGCTTCTCTGTATGGCGATTTTGATATCGCCAATATATCATTTTGATTCTTTGGCGTTGGTTCCGTTGTGTACGTAGCATAATTAATCGGACCTTTTGTTACAGGTTTTCCTTGTTTTAAATTCGATGACGGTTCGTGATAATTATCATCATATTCATGATAGTTTTGAGCCATCGGAGGGCGCTGCGGTTTTATTTCTGAACTTGGCATGTATTTCGGTTTGACAATAGGCTCGTAATAGTATTGCTCATCCTCGTCGTCGTAATAATAATCATTCATTTCGGGGGAGGGTTTAGGAATTGGCCTACGTTTATTGGGATTCTTAGTTGTACTTACAAATGGTTTTGGTGTACTACTGTATACGCTATAAGATTTCAATGGCAATTTAGTTGACATTTTAGTTGGTTGTGACGGCCGTAAATCGTGTATTGAAGACTCCGAATTTGGTCTATAAGTCGATTGAACAACAAATTTTTGATTTACTGGATTATTCCAAAACTGTTGTAAGGTCTGTAGCTGTTGTTTGGACGTCGTTACTGTTTTAGGCGTAGATTGCTTTATACCTGAAGTATAAGACCTAGTAGGTTGTATTGTGATTGTGAAAGGAGTAACAGATGAAATAGGGCGTACGTTCAAGTTTTCTGGGTTTCGTGGTCGTTCATTTTGTTCAAAATTAAAAGGCGATCCAGTGCTAGTTATCAAAATTTGTGAAACTAAATTGTTATTTTGATATGTTGAAACATTATATGGTCTTTTTGGACTTTCGTTTGGTCTACTAAAACTATACGTGAGAGGCAATTGACGCTCGTCTGTGAAATTAGGTGGTTTAAGTTTAGGAAGATTATTTGGTGAAGGCTGTGAAGATGGTTGAATATTCCTATTGTACAAGTTTTCATTTAGTGTAAGCTTTTCATTTTGTTTTATTAGAAGTGGTTTCGTTGTAAATTGTGAAAATTGTGCGATTTCTTTTGCATTGTTATCAAAGCCGCTAGTACTTGTGGGAATATTTGTAACAGTGAAGGGACGAGGTGTGTTAACACCTTTATAGTTTAGTGTAGTTGAATGTCTTATAGAATTCTTATACGGCAAAGTCGTTACTTCTAAAGGCATTTTAGGGGTTTTGTAGCTACTAGGTTGAATGTTATTAGGTTTAGCGGAGGTCATTCCTAAAGCTGAATAATGATCATTTTGTAATTTACTTAAATATGTGTCGAAATCAAAATCTGGCCTAGCGAAGGGATTCTCTATATTAGCATATTTATTCTTAGGGTGTGTGAAATCGTATGGCGGGTCTGGGAAATCATGCTTAAAATTCTGATCATCCTCTTCATCAGACGTCTCGTCACTTTCATTTGATTCATAACTGTCTTCATAATCTTCTTCTTGTGGTGGTCTTTGTGTGTGGTCTTGATTTTTATTATTTCTTATACCTTTTAGTCTTTCATCGTTAACGTGTTGATTATGTGCGACTTGAACTTGGTTTAAAGGACGCCGATATTCGGGAGAAAAAGTGGAATGCTGAATTGGTTTCATTGTAACCGCTATACTTGCTAGTTGAAATGAATCTGTCACCATAGGAGGATTAAAAGATGGTTGGGGTTGAGTAATAAATTGGCCGTTATTTTGATTGTTATTATTACTATGTTGACCCTTAGGAGCATTATTATAAAAACCGCCAGACAAAGATGAAAACGGATTTTCCTTGTTATTCAAAGAGGAAATAGGTGGACTTTTTGTAATAACTTGAGTATTAACAGGATTTTGACGAACTTTCTGGTTAAATGGATCGGGTAGACTCGGTTTAAATGGTCTCTGAGATTGTGAAACTTCGGCTGGGTAGGATAAAAAAGGACTAACAGTTGAAAAGAAATTATTTTCTACAGAAAAGGGCTTGCGATTTCCTGTATTAAAATTGTCGCTTTGTATATTTTGGTAACGAGGTCTTTGTAAATTAGGATTATATTGACTAAAATGCGGCAAGTTTAAAAATTGTTTTTCAGGTTTGTAACCATTTTTTAAAATATAACGAACTTGTCTTTTGTCTCTATCAGTCATAATCTGTTCATCATCACTGTCATATACTACTGGTTTTGTTTCAATGTTATAGTCAACATATTCAATAACTTCATCACTGTCAATTTTATCAGACATTTTGTCTGCAATAGTCAAATTAGTTTGTGTCATATCTACGTCTCTTTTTCTTCTTACAAGTGTCTTTATTATTTTGTCATCAGTACTTATTTTATTAGTCTCGATGTCTTTGTCTCTGTCCTGAGAAGAGTCAGAAATGTCATTGTCAACTCTGAAATAATAAAGTTAATTTTCCTCAGTATCATTAATTAATGGTGAAATGTATAAAATATATCCGCCATAACTCAAGGTAAATATATACCAATTAAAATAATTAAATTACCTATAAGTTTGAGGAGCTGGTGTAATTGTTGCAGTTCTTCTGTCATCTACCTGTGTCCCGAATGAAAACGATCCAAATTTTCCACTATTTTGTGTTATTGACGCAGGAATAATGTTAGAATTCAATGTTCTTCCGGAACTAATAGATTCACTTCTATAACCATCCCTATCCTTTTGAACTTGACCGATGGTAGATGGTTGGCCTCGGTAAACACGTTGCTGTCTGTCGCTTTCCAATTCCTCTACGGGTGGTAAATCGTCTACTTCAGCATACAACTGTTGCTGCTAAAGGTTAATAAGAAAATATAAGTTTTTTGTGAAATTAACGTTATAAATTCCATGAAGCCGTTATTTTACATTTACCTTTTCATACTCTTGTCTGTTATATTTAGGTTGTCCCCTAGATGTAATGACAGGGTTGGGTTGGGCTCTCGGTTGCGGTGGGGGAGGTGTGCGTCGCGGGGGCGGCGGCGGAGGTGGATCTCTTTCTCTTTCGCTCAGTCGTTCGAGTTCTTCTCCCCTGTCGATGACTGCACCGGTGGCATCACAGCCAACGTTACGCGGCCAATCGCATGTTTGGAGCTCGTGGCTGAAAAATTATTGGCAGCTTCAATTAATATTTAATAATCGAAGAGGAATCTTACGAAAATTTAGCATGTAGGAAAATTGTTAGTTTCATTATCTAGTTGTTAGCTCACCTGTACATAAGACCACCAGTGCATGACTCCAGCAGGGCGCCGCCGAACACACACACGTAGTAGAGGGTGCAATCGGTGGGGTGTGGGTAGTAGCCAAACTCCTCGGGGCAGTCGAAATCCACCTCCCGCTTGATGCTGGCTGCGGCGGGAGCACTGCGAGCCGGCCCCGATCGCTGCCGGGAACGCTCCCTCGCCCCAAGACATCCTGCAAATGCAATATGGTAAAATTAAAATCGTCACTCAAAATCTCTGACTTCGCAATGATACAGTCGTATTCAATTTACTGATTCCGATATCGTAATATTTATGTAACCTATATTATAAGCTTCAGAAGCTTCAGTTTCTATTAACATTGGTATCAAGTAGTTAGGATGTACGCAATTGCTACAAGTTTTAATTTTAAATGTAGGCAAATCACTGATGCGAAGATGTGGTAAAATCTACATGAATAATTAGAAGTTCTAATAGCTTCACGTGAGGTATTTAGAACAATTGCAATACTTCCCGTCCTTGTAGATAAAATTAATCTGCACAGAACCATTTATTAGATACACCATTTGGTTACGCTACTGGAGAATTGATTGCGAGGAACACAGCAGTATAATTAATTAAGATTATTTAATCAAAACTAATAATAAGCTTACATTTTGAAATTTTCTTCATATTGTTGTTAGTAACAATAACTAGTTTTAATACTTCTGCTTTTCAGGTAAGGTCCCTTTCCACTAAGATCTATATCCATAAATGTTAAACCCAATATTAATACTCTCTTTTGTTTAAATAATATCTTTAACACTCTCTCGTGATTTAAGAACTTCTAATGTTAATTTAAAGTAGTTAAAACTTTGAGTATTAAGTCACGTTTATGCAGCGGTCACGAGTTGTTGTGGGATTTGGAACAGGCATCAATTCTCGCGCATGTTTTCACAATGATAACTTTAGATTTTCACATAGAACATTTGAAATTAATATAATGTACCACGTGCATGTACAATATAATAATTTAAAATGTGTATATAAGAGGAAGTTTGAAAGTAGCGCCAATGATTGAGAAATTGAGGAGTAAAAGATTAGCGTGGTTTGGACATGTTATGTGATGATGATATAAGCAAAAAGTAATGAGCTTGAATTGGATGGCTACAAGGGTAGAGGAAGACCAAAAAAAGTATGGAATGACTGTGTGAAAGAGGATATGCGTTGGAAGGGGGTAGACTCGGATATGACGGCTGATAGAGATGTATGGAGGAGTAGTACATACTGTGCCGACCCTCGATAGGGATAATGATATTGTACCAGGTTGATGATGATATTGTACCATGCAGGATATACTGACCATTTTGCAAACCAACATTTGGAATTGCAAGAGCCGCACAGTAGGGCGTTATAGTACCCTTTCTTACATCAGAATAGACAATAAAGCTAGAAACTAAAATGAATGCCCAATCCGGTAACTATAAAGAAGTAAAAGCCCCAGCCGCAGCTTCTGAAAGAGCCCTCGAGTCTTGTCATTCTTAAACGAGGTTCAGGCTAAGCGCCATCTGCGCTCGGCCACCTCAAGCTCGGTGAAGCTGTAAATGCCTCTTAAAGGCAAACAGTGACTAATCAGTCACAAAAAAAAATGAATGAAGACGGAAAGAGACGAACCTTAAAAATAGTCGAAGTTCCAAAAGTAGGTGACGATTGTCGAAGATAATATTGGAAATTCGATTTAATTCTACCAAACTCACAACATACATTAAAAGAACAAGAACTAATTATTGTTATATGTGGGAAAATCTTAACGACTAAACATTGGTATATTGCAATAAAGCTTTGTAATAATATGTTCACTAGGAATTGCAAATACGTATTCAAGCGATGTTCACTCTGAGATAACATCTGTTTACTCAAGCCGGACCAATGACCTCAACATTGTTACCATTCTCTCAATTATTCCGATTGCATTTCCATGTTTGTGCTTACAACAAATAAGACTTTGCCCTATGTTTCCAATGACGCCACACCTGTACAAATCTACGTCATCTCTTTTATTCCCATTGTAACAAACAGAGATAACTATATGTTTTTGTAAGTGTTTTTCGATCGCATCGCTATTTTTACGAAGGTACTGAACAGAATGTGGGCAGAGAAGAGCCTAGTATTACCAAGTTTTATAATAGCCTTGCATATTGATCTTGAAGCAACAACACCCACTACTGAGTATAATTAAGTACGGATTTAAAAGTAAAATTCTGTAAACATGCAGATTGTCTTTGTTTATGCTTTTTATAATATTATACTTACGAGCTAGATGCTTTTTGCCAAGAATTTATATTATCATCAGATGGAATAGCCTTCCACATATGCGAATAATTCCAAACGCTGAGAAATATTTCAGCTTAGCAAATGGAAGCCATAAAACAATATTTTAAAACAACAGAATTAAAAGCTTAACTAGTTAAATTAATATAAATTATATTTAGTTGCAACAAACTGTACCAAATGAATATTCATAAATCATTGGAACAATGCTTTAATTTCAGATTGGCTTGCTCTTTATAGTGACCTTTTAGCTTTAATTCTTATGATCTGTATCACTTATTAAAGCTGCCAATTTAATGGTTATCTATTATGTACACCGCAATCGACCTTGTAATAATTTACAATGAATTTATCAGAGTAACAAAAGCGTGGGCATGGCTAACGATCATGTTATTGGAGTTCAATTTAGAGCTGTCACTCGTGATTGAATTTCACTGATATGCAAAGGAAACTAATTATAAAATATTAAATATCATAACTAGTAACCTTGGTTACATGTGTGTTGAAATGATTTATTGTTTGTACGAAAGTTTATTGTTCGTATTTGATAACTTAAACATTTGAAAAGAGCTTTTACCTGTCGTGAATGTAAGACCATACTTAAGGCTTTTATTCTAAATATTTTTTATTATAAAATAAAAGCGAAAATCTATCGTAATATTACTTATTAAACATTTTAAAACATTATAAATAGGGTTTAAGGTGTGATGCCTAAATATTACAAAGTTTTGTTACAAATTCCTTGTAAAGTAACACATGACATAATGTTAGTTACTTCCTCCAAATAGCTTGACCGATTTTTATAAGATTCTACATGCATAATCTGCAGGTCTGAAAATCGGCTACTATCAATTATTAATTTGGCACAGATGTAGAACAAGAACACATAGACTACTAATAAAGTGTTGTTTTAATCCAGCGCGAACGGAGTCGCGGATTATAACTAGTTTTATAATATTGCTGTCAGAATAAAACGCAAGCAAAGTAAATTTGTCTCAACGCAATCGATTATTACATCAATTTCCGCATGATTACAGCAAATATTGCGGCAAGCTGCAAACTATCACAAACATAGTTGACTCGTAGTTGGTGTTGTTAAATTGTTATTTTGCTATTACAATGAGGTAATAAATATTCGAGAGCCCTAGATAATCAAAGTTAACATCGCGCTAGTTGTTTCTGGTACTCCCCGTATATATCAGAAATAAAGCTAACAATATTATAGCAAGCAATCAACGATCTATCCAATATTTTGTACACCAAATTATAGGGTGTTTTTTTTTCAACAATAATTAGCTTTTGTAAAAAAATATCTGTACTCGTTACAACAATTTTGTTGACCAATTACGTACATTTTTTGTCAAGCCTACCGCGTTTTCTTTAATAACCGAATATTATTACAACAGGGACCTTGAAGGAACTGATTTTAAAGTTAATATTTTTTTACTGTCGCCACCGACCTTGCTACCATAATAATTGCCTTTTCACTTTTTACGCTTGTTCTTGTTACATATATGTACATGTTTTCACAATGTAACGTAGTCAAGGTTGTACAAAATTTTACATTCATATTTTGTAAGTATTTTTCACTGAAACATTCGAACAATTAGTCTTTCGTCATATTAATTTACTTATGAATACGTGTCATTTACATAAACATGGCATTCCGTTTTTTTTTAATCAATTTGCTACTGTTTTCTCGCCACCTTGCTCGATCCTAGTGGTCTACTTCAGAATGAAGCATTGTCCTCTTTGATTTACATAGATATTTGTACGGAGTCCAATAATTACCACAAATAAATGTACTGGTGATTTTTTTAAAGCAAATTCTTTTATAATGGAAATATTAAAATTGTGCTATTTTTAACCGTAAAATTCTACTGCCGTGATACTTAAATTAGAACAAATTGTTGTCTCTGTTTTATGATGGCAATCATCAATGTAATTTTATACAGTGGAAACCCACATTAAACATTCTGCATTAACAACACAGCGTGTACTTGCAATTATATAGAGTCGGTTACACAAATGAGGTTTTATATAGAGCACTTGAAACTTGAAAACCTTGGCATTTAGATATAAATTGACATAAATTATTTCTGTACTTGAAATGTAAAACTGTAACGTTCATGAGCCTTTAAAACGAAAGGCTAAAATATTCTCATGGATTGGCGGCTGGGATTCATTAAACGATCGTACCGCGCCCACATTTATGGTCAACAATATGCGACAAAATTTAATTTTAACACTGCTACGGGAAGACAAATCAATCTTCTTAACATCATAGACGCGAATATTCGGATGGATGGATATTTCTTATAAGGTATTTTAGGAACGGCTGCATAGATCTCGCTGAAATTTGGCATAGATGTATGTACAAGTATGATGGCTTAATTGTGAAGAACACATAGGCTAATTATTAAGTTTATTTCTATTCCCAGCGGATTTAGTCCCGGTCTAAATCTAGTAATATACACTATTGATTACACTCTTCGAAGTCTCTCTTAGCAACACCTAAACTTTAAGATATTTATAGAAAGATTAGTCAGTAAACTTATAAATACTCTTTGCGCCTACATACTTCTAGATAAAGTTCCGTTGAATACTTAACGAAATGTCAAGATTCTTAACTAGGGAGTGGGTGATCTGTGAATATAGTTGTATTATTTTATTACATCCTGTAGAAACGTACACTAAAGACATATTACAATACAAATGATTGGTAATATTTAAATTGAAGATCATGTAACATAATATATCTATTAAAAATTAAATCAATCAAATGTTTGTTACAAATGGTCTATAAAACACGTTATCCATCACAAGCCTTTGGCAAGTTACATTGTATCTTAAGAAACAATACAATTTCCCAACTTAAAGTTTAAGTACAACATTCATAATTTG